AAAGCGTTTCCCACTGCTCTGTCCTCGTCATCAGTGATGAACCGTGTGTGTCAGGACGACATGTGATGAACAGAGAATAAACACAAAACTGGTTTTTATCGTATCTTCGTCCCGGCTGTTGTGTGTGGGAGCGCAGAAGCGATCCCAAAGTTCCTGTGCCACTACAGGAACTTTTCACAAAGTTAAGTCTTTTTATCTCGTGGCCAAATGCTTTTCTCTGCAAATCAATCACATACAATCAAAAGCATTTCCATCCAGTTCCACGTTAACTCAGTTCTTGTCTCATCATTTAGAATGTCCTGTGTGTAATCTGCACTTTGTGCAGTTTCAAATCCTATTTATTGATAAGAGCAGGAGGGGCGTTGTGTCTCCTCAGCTGCAGAGTGCTCTGACCCGAGGTCCGAAGTAAGGCCCCGTTCAGACGGAGACGCTGCGGCAGTAAAAGTTTAGATTTGATTCATTTCAAACATATTTGCATACCGTACTCTAGAGGGCGTCACAAACGATTCAATATCATTTTGAGAATTGTTTCATCTCTAGTAGATTGGACATGAACATAAAGACCACCGTGGTCCATCGGTGACTGAACCATATCCAGTACTAGACCTGCCATCATTGTGGTGTTTTTAATAAAAAAAACAACACGTAGCAGTTAAGATCTAGCACAGTAGGGTTAAGGAATTTTACTGCATCGCAGGAATTCCTCTAAAATGTAATTGTGGCTGTCTGCGGGGGCGGAGGTACAGGAAAAGGCTCTAAAGCACAACAAGCTCCGACAGGAAGTCATTCAGCGACACACACAAACACACACAGCAAAACACACACACACACACTCACGGCAGGCGCTAAATACTATTTAATCAAAGTGGCCTGCTTCAGAGGGAAGGAGAAAAGTGGCAGCAGAGAGTGATAGAGCGAGTTTACATAGACTTAAATATATGTTTGGATTAAAGTGATATTCTGGAACTCTAAATGAATTACAAATGTTAAGAATTGTATTAAATTGACCTCCTGCCCTTCACCACGATTGCTTTTTGGTGCATTAAAACAGTACTTTTGTCATGAAAACAAGAACAGATCATTCTGAAAACCTCCGTGCAGGTGTGTTAAGAATGTATATGTATAATGTATTCTCTGATTCACATTTAAATGTGTTGATTGATTGATATTTGTGTTATTGAGCGTGGCTAGCTCCGATAGCTTCTTTCGCTCAGACAGAAGTAATAAGTGACAGGTGCTGCTGCTGGGAGGAACTGTAAGACAAATAATGATTAAATATTTGAATATTTACATTAATAATCTCTCTCTCTCTGGTCTTGGCCCATTGACCTGGCGCGTGCTCAGACAAGTAGGCGCGGTTTCAAGACCAATCACAAAGGAACGGGGAGGGAGCTTGGGTTTTTGTGTTTTTCACATCTCCTCTCTCTCTTTTCTGGACTTTAATAGAAATGTTTCTTCCTAAAAATCACAAGTTCTAATTAAAACTGTCAAAGCCTTTGTCGCATCATCAGTATTCACATGGACGAATGCGTGACAACTTAAGCACAACTATAGGACGCATTTTTCCCACAGAAATGAATCTGAGTGGATTACCCCTGCAGCAGCCAATCAGCTCTCAGTCCAAGTATGAAAGAGTCGAGATGTGAACTGGAGCTACCCACACGTTATCAAACCAAGATCTACTTTTTGTCATGATCCACCCCAGTTTTAAGTGGGGCTGTAACAATTCAGAACATCACTTTTTATTTCACCATGACCACGTCTTCAGTCTAAGGATTCACAGCGTGAAAGCTTACTTTTCAGATTCGTCATTTCAGACCCGAGAATAATCTGTTTCCAACAGTGCCAATCCGTCACATAGAGCCCCATGTCATTGATCCAGAGTCAGACCCTAATTATTTAGTTGACGGCGAGTTAGTTACATTCACCTTACAGATCAAGGCTTGTTAACAACTTTTACTGTGGGAATAAAACCAGGTTTCAATATCTGTTCTTTATTAACTCTAGTTTAAAAGGTAACCATAGTTCTGGAACAGTGTTTAGAGAAGTGTTACTCACAGAAAAACATTTGTTGTGGATTTCAGCTGCAGATCCTTGTGAAAAAAAAAAGTCCAGCCACATTTGCCACATTCCCCATCTACGCTCAGGAGATGTTGTGTGGACCAATTTGCCGTTTTAATTTCTTGCCTCTTTTTTTGGACTGCAAACGGCATATTTATTATGTATTGTTTTCCCTGTTTTGACTTCATGGTTTTAGAACCCTTTCCAGCGCAGAAGCTTCTGCAGCTCATCGATGTTGTGCTGCCTCTCGAGAATTAAAGCGAAAGATTGCTCTCAAAACTAAAGCTTGTGGGAATCAATGAAAAACTACTGAAAACTCCTCTGGGCATGTGTGTGAGGTCAAATATCACTGTAATTATGTTTAAAGCATAGAAAAGTCAAATAGCGTAATATGGGCCCTTTAAGGGCCAACAACAGGTTTATGTCCTTTGACATTGTGCCATTAGGCCACAGTTCATATAAAAGAGTTTAGAAGCGGAGACTAACACTGTCTCTTTACTCAGTCAGGGGCCGGCGCCTATGGCCCTTGGCACGTGTGCTGCTGGGCTCACATTGTCACCGCAGAGAGATGAAAAATGTGAATGATTGACTCTTGCCTCTCGAGGCTCTGGAACGCAACACAGCGGAAGAGCAAGCCGAGGTTGCCAGGCATGCTTCAGAAACATGCAGAAGGGAGGGACTATATTTCAGAGCAGAGATGCAAAGAATGCAAAATGAAATAAAGAAAAATGGTTGGGACAGATGCAGAAGTCTGCAGAAGTAACAGGAGAAGAGTCTAGAGTGAACCCAAGCAGAGCGCAAAAAACCGGCTCGACAAGAATGCAACAAAACATGCATTGAGCCTGTGCCCACGAGTGACCGCAGGGGAGAGAAGTGCAGGCCCGCAGGGAGCAGGACAGGGCTGGGGACCACAGATTATAGGATCTTATTTAACTATGGCACTGGAATTTCAAAAGGATCATTACTGAATTTTACTCTAAATCAAACAGATTAGAAAATAAATCAAAGCAGATGGAACGGTCATTGGTCCTTAAAGACAAACAGATGACCACATTTTCACAGGAAATGGATTTATGTCCTGGAGCGTCCCCTGTAAAAAATTAAAAATTACAAAATCTCAGAAACCTCAGGGAGTAGCAGAGTGTGGAGGGATCCACTCCCATGGACAGACAGGTGGTAACAGAGGGGCCCTCTATGCCAGGTAGCTGTGTCAGCCCCATTCAGCACATGGCCCATGTTCCACCATGTTGCATATCGTCTCGTGTGATGGAAAAATATAGCAGCAAATCCACAACAAACATTAAAACAGATTAAAAGCAGGCCAAGGCCCTCTGTGATCATAACTTGTCAAGGGCTGTATTTTTCAAAGTAATAATAAAAAAAAGTAAGTAAGTAATGTTTATTTATATACCGCCTTTCACAGACCAGAGTCACAAAGCGTTTACAATTGTTATTTTTTGGGCATTTGTCTTCTCACTCCACACAGAGATGAGAGTGGGGTCGCCAGTACAGTAAAAAAACAAAACAATAAAAGACCACAACAAAGTAACTGTAAACTGAAAGCAAAACATTACATGAATTATTTTTGTTTGATAAAATCTGAAAAACTGGTTGTACAAGTAATCCTACAACATAAGTGTTTGTGGAACCTACGTTTCCTGCATTTTTGCGTATGAACATTTTCACAAAACAACTCAAGCTTTGTCAGATTAGTTTGTGGACAGCAGTATTAACTGATGTGAATGTGTTTTGTGTCAACCATTCCATTGCAGCTCAGACTGATCCTTCCATCCTGATGAAGGTGTATCTCCGACCGAGCCTCAAGAGGTTTTCTGACTCTAGACATCTTTAGTTCCACATAGTCTCCGTTTTTGTCTCCAAACATTTTCCCATTATTTTTTACAATCTTCCCGACTGAAAAAAAGCATCCCATAGGAGGATGCTGCCACCCCCATATCAGCCGTGTTAGCTTTGATCCATACATATCTTTTTGCATTTGTGCCAAAAGGTTCAATGTTGGCCTCTTCTGACCTCAGCACCTTCTGCACATGTTAGCTGTGTCCCCCACATGACTTCTGCAAACTGAAAACATGATTTCTTATGGTCTTTCTTTCAACAATGCCTTTGTTCTTCCACTTGTCCATTAAGACAACATCTGTATAGAGTACGACTAAAATCTGCCCCATGTACAGATTCATCCAGATGAGCTGCAGAGAATCCTGGGCACATGACTATTTCTGACCAGTGCTCTCCTTGTTTAGATAAACGCTCGTGATTTAGAACAAATTAACAATGTTCTGAAATATTTTCTTTAACTTCACATGTACTTTGTTGTGGTATTTCAAAATCAAATCTTTGTTTGTGGACAAGCTGTGTTTCTGCAAGCCACTGCACGCCTAAATGTTAACAAACATGAGTAAATTGACTATTAAAATGGTAAAACAAAACCATGTTAACATTTCAATACAGTTTGAATTAATCCAAATAGTGTTTAGTTTCCACTTTTCAACATGAACTAAGACTTACGGATGTGTCTTATGCATCATGTTCTGGAACATGTAGAAGACTAGGAGCCCCGGATTGAGAAGCCCTGGTGTAGCTGACAAATCTTCTGTATATAATCTATCATTCATGTTATTAATATCCCAAATAACTTACTAAATTACTAATAAAATGTGATTGAAAACAGACGCATAAATCCACAGGTTTGATATTAAACTAACTTAAGCACTGGAGACTTCAGCTCATGTTGCAGCCCACTCAGAGCCAAATGCGTCTCGAAGTTTCAAACGTGAACTTTGAACACTCGCTCAAAGTGTAAACACATTGTTGAAAAGTCACAAATCAGAGCATGTCTTCTTTGAGCTGTAGATGAAGCAAAAAAAGCCCAGACTCCACTCTACACAGGCTAAAGCACCTCTCCGCGTCCATGCACTCACCTCGTCCCACTTGACGAACTTGCCTCCCTTCTTGAGCGCGTCGTGCACGGACACAGGCTTGAGCTGCAACGCGTGGACCCCCGGCTTGGCCCCCGCCATAGCTCGCCTGGTCTGGGGCAGAGGGGGCTGCCTTCTACCAACGCCTTGATACCAGCGCGCGTCCCGAGTCTCTCAGTAGATCCGCCCGCCAGCAGCCACACAGATATGGAGCAATGTAGGAAGGAAGTGCGCGCTCGTCCTCAAGCCCTGCCTCCTCTTCTTCTGCGAGTGAAAAGTTTACCAAACAAGTTTCCCAAAGAAGTGTTCGAGCGCGGAGGGGAGCGGGGAGAGACGCTGCTGTCACGGCCCGGGCGCTTCCTCAGTCCGTGCTCCTGTCTCCTGTGCGCACGGCGTCATGGAGTTGGCTTCACTCTCTTCCTTGTTGCTTCGAACTTTGTGAAAGTGGCCGAGTGTCCTTCCTCCTCCTCCTCACCCCTCCTCTCCTCTCCTCCCTCGCGTGTTTTCTCTTCTGTGGGAAAAGCGCGAGTGAGAGAGAGGCGCAGACAGCTGTGTCAGGAGGCGTGTGGAAAACCCTGAGCAGTTGTAACTCCGTCATAATGAAGTCTGATGAGAAGCGACATTTACACCTCTATGAAATACCTACAATCAACTCGAGTATATTTAGATGAACAACTACATGCAGCCTCTATTTTCTTCATTTTGTCCCTTAAACATGATCATGAGAATGTTTTCTGGTATTTCACGTTAATGTTTTGATTAAAATATTGAAAGGATAAAGGATGAGAGAAGACTAGAAAGGGCAACAGCTCCATCTCATGGTTAATGTTTGAGGGATTAAGTAAAAGTGAAATAAATCATGATAAGGGTTAGGGTCAACCAACTTATTGAACCAACTTATTTTCCATTCAAAAACATTGAATGATAAAACACAACAAAATTAAATTAAAAATCAGTCATGAGCCAGCATATTTTTAGTATTAGGGGAAACGGGAAGAACATGCAAACTCCACTCAAAGGCCCCATGCCAACCAGGAGTTAAAGCTAGGACCTTCTGGTTGAGAGGCGAGAGCTCGTTGTAGCGTTTTGAAGCCCGTTTACTTAAAAATCCTGGCAAAGCCTCTCGGGGGGGTTGAATATTATCCAACACATCCTCAATCCACCCTCAACGCACCCTCAACGCACCCACAATGCACCCACAAAGCACCCTCAACGCACCCACAACGCACCCTCGACGCACCCTCGACGCACCCTCGACGCAACCTCAACGCACCCACAACGCACCCACAACGCACCCTCAACGCACCCTCAACGCACCCACGACGCACCCTCGACGCACCCTCGACGCACCCTCGACGCACCCTCTACGCACCCTCTACGCACCCTCTACGCAGCCTCAACGCACCCACAACGCACCCTCAACGCACCCTCAAAGCACCCACAACGCACCCTCGACGCACCCTCGACGCACCCCCGACGCACCCTAGACGCACCCTCGACGCACCCTCAACGCACCCTAGACGCACCCTAGACGCACCCTCGACGCACCCTCGACGCACCCCGACGCACCCTCAACGCACCCACAACGCACCCTCAACTCACCCTCGACGCACCCTCGACGCACCCTCAACGCACCCCCGACGCACCCTCAACGCACCCTCGACGCACCCTCGACGCACCCCCGACGCAACCCTCAACGCACCCTCGACGCACCCACAACGCACCCTCGACGCACCCTCGACGCACCCCCGACGCACCCCCGACGCACCCTCGACGCACCCTCGACGCACCGTCAACGCACCCTCTACGCACCCTCAACGCACCCACAAAGCACCCTCAACGCACCCACAACGCACCCTCGACGCACCCTCAACGCACCCTCGACGCACCTTCGACGCACCCTCGACGCACCCTCGACGCACCCTCAACGCACCCACAAAGCACCCTCAACGCACCCACAACGCACCCTCGACGCACCCTCGACGCACCCTCAACGCACCCTCGACGCACCCTCAAAGCACCCTCAAAGCACCCACAACCCACCCTCGACGCACCCCCGACGCACCCTCGACGCACCCTCGACGCACCCTCGACGCACCCTCGACGCACCCTCGACGCACCCTCGACGCACCCTCGACGCACCCACGACGCACCCTCGACGCACCCTCAACGCACCCTCGACGCACCCTCGACGCACCCTCGACGCACCCCCGACGCACCCCCGACGCACCCCGACGCACCGTCAACGCACCCTCTACGCACCCTCAACGCACCCTCAACGCACCCTCAACGCACCCACAAAGCACCCACAAAGCACTCTCAACGCACCCACAACGCACCCTCGACGCACCCTCGACGCACCCTCGACGCACCCTCTACGCAACCTCAACGCACCCTCAACGCTCCCACGACGCACCCTCGACGCACCCTCTATGCAGCCTCAACGCACCTCGACGCACCCTCAACGCACCCTCAAAGCACCCACAACGCACCCACAACGCACCCTCAACGCACCCACAACGCACCCACGACGCACCCTCAACGCACCCTCGACGCACCCTCGACACACCCCCGACGCACCCTCAACACACCCTCAACGCACCCTCAACGCACCCACAACGCACCCACAACGCACCCCCGACGCACCCTCAACGCACCCTCGACGCACCCTCGACGCACCCTCGACGCACCCTCGACGCACCCTCGACGCACCCTCGACGCACCCTCTACGCACCCTCGACGCACCCTCAACGCACCCTCAACGCACCCTCAACGCACCCTCAACGCACCCTCAACGCACCCTCTACGCATCCACGACGCACCCCAGACGCACCCCCGACGCACCCTCGACGCACCCCCGACGCACCCCCGACGCACCCTCAACGCACCCTCGACGCACCCTCGACGCACCCTCGACGCACCCTCGACGCACCCTCGACGCACCCCCGACGCACCCCGACGCACCGTCAACGCACCCTCTACGCACCCTCAACGCACCCACAAAGCACCCACAAAGCACTCTCAACGCACCCACAACGCACCCTCGACGCACCCTCGACGCACCCTCGACGCACCCTCGACGCACCCTCGACGCACCCTCTACGCAACCTCGACGCACCTCAACGCTCCCACGACGCACCCTCGACGCACCCTCTATGCAGCCTCAACGCACCCTCGACGCACCCTCAACGCACCCTCAAAGCACCCACAACGCACCCACAACGCACCCTCAACGCACCCACAACGCACCCACGACGCACCCTCAACGCACCCTCTACGCACCCTCGACGCACCCTCGACACACCCCCGACGCACCCTCTACGCAACCTCAACACACCCTCAACGCACCCACAACGCACCCACAACGCACCCCCGACGCACCCTCAACGCACCCTCGACCTAACCCCGACCCACCCTCAACGCACCCTCAACGCACCCTTGACGCAACCTCAACTCACCCTCAACGCACCCACGACGCACCCCTGACGCACCCTCAACGCACCCTCGACGCACCCTCAACGCACCCTCAACGCACCCACAACGCACCCTCAACGCACCCCCGACGCGCACCCTCAACGCACCCACAACGCACCCTCAACGTACTCTCAACGCACCCTCGACGCACCCTAGACACACCCTCGACGCACCCTCGACGCACCCCCAACGCACCGTCAACGCACCCTCTACGCACCCTCAACGCACCCACAAAGCACTCTCAACGCACCCCCGACGCACCCCCGACACACCCTCGACGCACCCTCAACGCACCCACAACGCACCCCCAACGCACCCCCGACGCACCCCCGACGCACCCTTGACGCACCCTCGACGCACCCTCGACGCACCCACGATGCACCCCCGACGCACCCTCAACGCACCCACAATGCACCCTCGACGCACCCCCGACGCACCCCCGACGCACCCTCGACGCACCCTTGACGCACCCTCTATGCAACCTCAACGCACCCTCAACGCACCCTCGGCGCACCCTCGACGCACCCCCGACGCACCCTCGGCGCACCCTCGACGCACCCCCGACGCACCCCCGACGCACCCTCGACGCACCCCCGACGCACCCTCGACGCACCCTCGACGCACCCTCGACGCACCCTCGATGCACCCCCTGACGCACCCTCAACGCACCCTCGACGCACCCTCAACGCACCCTCAAAGCACCCACAACGCACCCTCAAAGCACCCACAACGCACCCTCAACGCACCCACGACGCACCCACGACGCACCCTCGACGCACCCTCTACGCAGCCTCAACGCACCCTCGACGCACCCTCGACGCACCCCCAACGCACCCTCTACGCAACCTCAACGCACCCTCAACGCACCCTCTACGCACCCCTGACGCACCCTCAACGCACCCTCGACGCACCCTCTACGCAACCTCAACGCACCCTCAACGCACCCACGACGCACCCCCGACGCACCCTCAACGCACCCTCGACGCACCCTCAACGCACCCTCGACGCACCCTCTACGCAGCCTCAACGCACCCTCGACGCACCCTCGACGCACCCTCGACGCACCCTCGACGCACCCTCGACGCACCCCCAACGCACCCTCTACGCAACCTCAACGCACCCTCAACGCACCCACAACGCACCCCCGGCGCACCCTCAACGCACCCTCTACGCACCCCCGACGCACCCTCAACGCACCCTCAACGCACCCTCGACGCACCCTCTACGCAACCTCAACGCACCCTCAACGCACCCACGACGCACCCCCGACGCACCCTCAACGCACCCTCGACGCACCCTTGACGCACCCTCGACGCACCCTCGACGCACCCTCGACGCACCCTCGACGCACCCCCGACGCACCCTCAACGCACCCTCAACGCACCTCTCGACGCACCCTCTACGCAACCTCAACGCACCCTCGACGCACCCCCAACGCACCCCCGACGCACCCTCAACGCACCCTCGACGCACGCCCGACGCACCCTCAACGCACCCACAACGCACCCTCAACGCACCCCCGACGCACCCTCAACGCACCCACAACGCACCCTCAACGCACCCTCAACGCACCCACAACGCACCCTCAACGCACCCCCGACACACCCTCAACGCACCCACAACGCACCCTCGACGCACCCCCGACGCACCCTCAACGCACCCCCGACGCACCCTCAATGCACCCCCGACCCACCCTCGACGCACCCTCAACGCACCCACGACGCACCCCCGACGCACCCACGACGCACCCTCGACGCACCCTCGACGCACCCCCGACGCACCCTCAACGCACCCCCGACGCACCCCCGACGCACCCCCGACGCACCCCCGACGCACCCCCGACGCACCCCCGACGCACCCCCGACGCACCCCCGACGCACCCCCGACGCACCCTCGACGCACCCTCAACGCACCCACGACGCACCCTCAACGCACCCTCGACGCACCCCCGACGCACCCTCAACGCACCCCCAACGCACCCCCGACGCACCCCCGACGCACCCCGACGCACCCCCGACGCACCCCCGACGCACCCTCGACGCACCCTCAACGCACCCACGACACACCCTCAACGCACCCTCAAAGCACCCACAACGCACCCTCGACGCACCCCCGACGCACCCTCAACGCACCCACAACGCACCCTCAACGCACCCTCAACGCACCCTCAATGCACCCTCAACGCACCCTCTACGCACCCACGACGCACCCCCGACGCACCCTCAACGCACCCTCAACGCACCCACAACGCACCTACCAGGCCACCGAAATTGCATGCTCTGCGACAGTGGCCTGTGTGAGAGAATTTGCTTTCGCTGCTTGGAGCTCTACTGTGATCTGCTTCTGGGCGACATGGATTTCTGCGGGGCCTGTCCCTGCAGCTCAACATTGACAGTACGTATGGACCTGGACCTGTCTATGGTGAGCACTGGAACCAGGGGGGTGTGGCCTCGCGTTGTGAGCATGCACGGGCACACACACACACAGAAACAACTTGCTTCATTAGAGAGTCTTTTAGTGAACACCAAACTCTGTTATTGTATCGTTCATTCTTACTGTGGATAGATGATTGTGTTGAAGTGTGGGGAGTCTTACCAATCCCACTTTAAAGGATAAAGGAAAATGTGTGCTGTGCCCTGGACTCAGATCTGACAACATATCTAGTACACAAACAACAATAAGAAGCTCCCGTTCATATATATGTATAGAACCTTTCATCCTTTTCCATTGCGCTAACATCGGTTTACATAAGACACCATAGAAACTAATAAAAACATGAATATAATCTAAACTAATAATATAGGCCAACTTCAGGCACACAAACATATATATTTCAAAACACAACTCTTTCACTCTTCAGGCTTCACACAAAAATGAGCATAATTTGAACACAGAACAAAGTCTGCTCTCCTCAGAAGTTTGTGAGTTTTTAAGACCAGTGGAAGAATTCCTGTACGCTTCTGTACCATCAGAGATATATTGACATTCGACTGTAGTTTAGGGTTTGTCAAAATCACATTGTAGCAACTGATCTTCAAAATTGCCGACTAAGTTTCCTCTATGTCAACACAAAGGTAAGTTGTGCTTCCGTAAAAAAACAGCTCAGTGTGAAGAGGCTTGACTCCAGTGTTGATAGTTTAGAACAGGAGCAGGACAGGCCTTATACAACTTAGAGCGTATTCCATAACAAAGATCTCTACACTTTTTTAATTTGTTAATCACAGAACCTTAAGCACGTGGATTATCGCTCCACAGTCAAAACTCAGGATTTCTTCAAACGTGAACCTCGGACATTTGTTTTTAGGGAACAACTGGAGTGAAATGCACAATCTTCAGGATTTAGTTTGATATATGGACATTTTCCATTTATAGGACTAGTCTTGTAACAGATCTAACTTCATCCTCTTCTGTTTAAGCCATGAGCGCAACATCATCAGCATAAAGCAAAGTATGGGGGGGGGGTCTGTTTTACACCCGGTCTTGAGCTTATAATTGTTTAATGCGAAACCTGTATTTTAGTTTTCATGAATACTTCAGTCTAGACGTTTTGCCTGGCTTTGGACTGAGCCTGCTTCGTGAAACAGAAATTACAACAGACTAAGCTTTTTGTTGATCTATTATAAATAACAAACTTTTAAATTTGAAATGTGGTTGTGGTCAGAGGAGCCAGGGGTGTTAGGGGATATAAATGGCCTCTTCGTTGTAAGAAATATAAGCTTTATGATAGTTTGATACAGTCGTAGTCTCTTATATCGCCCTGCTCTGGTGTTGCAGGCAGGTCCCACCAGGAGGAAACATCAATATATGTTTGCAGATGTGTCTCCCGAGATGTGGGGGAAAGGGACATGAACCCAACACAATGAACTGGCGGCTGCTTAGACACTGGTGGCTGTTCCTGCAGAGGGAGGAGAACAAAGCACATACAGATACACATGTGAAACCGTTAGGAGGTGCAGGCTTACGTAACAAGGTGGAGGTGAGGCGTGTAGGAGCCTGTTCACCAATGCTGCTCAACAAACTTCTGTTGCCCCTGACCTAGTTTTCATGGAAGCAAATGCAAAATGCAGCCTATCTCTGTGAAACCTGTTGTATGATGTTACTGAAACAAATGCTGCTATTGCTGAAATCAACTCGAGACAATCTGCATTCCACCAACAAGATAAGCCTCCAGTAAAGAGAGAGGACAGAGGAGGGCTGAGATCAGAGGAGTGATGACAGAAGAGAGAGAAGAGAGGACAGAGGACATAGAACAAAGGACGGAGAAGAGAGGACAGAGAAGAGAGGACAGGAGACATAGAACAAAGGACGGAGAAGAGAGGACAGAGAAGAGAGGACAGAGGAGAAAGGAAAGAGGAGATTGAGCAGACGATATGTTTTCTGAGTCTGGGCCCTATGTCAGGGCGTACCTGTGTCCGCAGAAATCTTAACATAACAATCCCTTGTTTGCATCTCGTTCACTTGTCAAGATTAGGCTTCGAAAGGCACCATGTCGCTATTCATAACTCAATATTTTATTGGTTATGACAATTTAAGCTCAAGCACAATTTCAGACTGGAGGACCAAAGTGACGTCATGTTGCCACACTGACTCCTCCCTCTACACTGCTGCCCCTGAGCTCAACATCAGCCTCAGCCGCTCAGTGACACACATGTGCTCATCACTTCATGGCTGCATTAAAACAGAGCCTCTCAGTTCTCTGCAGCTCAAGCTGCTGTTCGAGCAGCAACCCACCTCCTCTCTTACAATGCCTCTTCAGTGAAGTATCTTGTCATGTCTTCGGCTCAGCTTCTTCGCCACCAGGGTCTAGGCCCTCAGAGTCTAGGCCCCCAGGGTCTAGGCCCCCAGGGTCTAGGCCCCGGGGTCGCAAGCTCAGAAATTCTATTAAACTCCCTTCTACATACGTCATGCTGTATTCCTGCCGGGGTCTAATCGCCAATGATAACAATAAATGTATTAGTACTCAATCACAGTCTGCAGATGTCTGTTCATGCATCTTGACAATAAATATTCAAATGCAATCTTTGTCTTGTGTCTTTCCAGATTGAAGTACAGATAAGAGTTAACTACAGTCTCATTTCAGCCATTAGATCGTGTTTGTATGGACACCCAGGCACTGTACAGGGCGACTTCTGCCCCTGACAGAGGCATTTGTGCCATTGCAGGATGCATCAAATGAAGAGGACACATTTCCAACTCCACTGGCCACGCTATGCTGCTGTTCAGAGTCCTGCAGTGTTATTCCACCCACAGAGCAACAGATACAGGCCTACTGTTTAAGTATTTAGCGGTTAGACGTCTGTGAAATAAGCCTTTGCCTTGACTTAAAGCCACAGTGCAAAACGTTCTGGCGTGAACATGTCACCTGCATAAGTCCAGGAACAGAAGATCAACCTTCACTTTGGAACATTCTTTATAGAGATAGATAAGACGCTCTGTGGAAGATTATGGAGTCGCTGAGTGAATACGTCAAACAAAGACTTTCCAGTTGTCACAAGATTAAAATTTAGGTGTAACAAATAAAACCCGAAAAACAGATAAATTGCAATAATTTAATGATAGTGTGTAATTGTTATTAAAGTAGTGAATGTGTGTAGAAAGGCCTTTAAAAATGGTGTGCTAAAAACAATTAAAATACTGCAGGAGAAAAGCACTACCCCACGGTCGCACCGCCACCTCCAGGACTCGCCGTCCTCAGCCCAGGCCACCAACCCACCAAAGCATGTCGCAGCAGACACAGGGAGAACATGCGAACTCCACTCAGTAAGACCCTGAGAGCCTCAAACAGAGAACAGATTCAATTAAATGACAGCGGGATATTCCAGGCAGCAGTCCCCACTTGGAATCACAGATGACACTTTTCCAATAGTATTGCCTCAAACATTTACATCTCTATGGCAACAAGGAAGAAGAGTGGACCTGACGAGAAAAGTTGCGCAGTGCACCGTTAAAGCTGGGGTGCAAAACCTTTTAAATGATTAATAACAATAATACAGTTTTACATTTTCTTTTCAGAACACTCAAAGACGCTTCACAGCATTATCCATTCACAACTTCTGTAGCCACAGCTGCCCCGGGGCACAGTGATGGTTTGTTATCGTTGGTCCTAATAGAAAGAGTCTTGATAAAAGTGAATATATTAGACTACAACATACTGTCTTTATCTAATTAGTTATCTTTTGCATATAATAATTGTCACTATTTGACTCTTTGGGGGTGGTCGTCTTTTGACTGAGGGCAAAATTACGCGAATGTGAAAACTAGTGATAGAACCAAACTGTTCTAGAGGCATGATCCAGTAACATGTATTAGAGAGTTCTACTGTATGTTTTGTGGTTTGAAGGTCAGAGCCACCAGCAGCACCAGTGTCCCCAGAGAAGAACTGTTGCCCTTTTGTGTGGGTCATGTGTGCGCTAATGGGAGAGGTCTGACTCCACTGACAGGGAGAACTAAAGCTGATCCAATTACTGCGCAGAAGGGTGAGGACTGTGGTGTCTGCAGGTGTGTTTAGACTATGATGCAGTTTTAGTGCTGTCTCTATATGCAGTTTGTATGTTTTAATTGCTTTAATGTCATTGTTAACTCAAGATTAACCATATTTAATTGCGCATTTTTGTCCCTGTTCTAAATGTCCCTCGATTTGTTTTGAAAAGGGATGGGATGAAGGAAAAAGCTTAATTATGCCAATCCCTTCCAAAAATAGAAAATAATATGGATTGTCGACTACAAGCTACTCAATCTCTGCTTTTGTTATTGCTTATTGCAGTTTATAGAACTATTTAAATGAGTACTGCACTCTCCCTGACTCAGGTTGCCAGATATGCAGATGAATCCAGCTGGGACCATAATAACTGAATAACTGAAGAAGAGTTTTGTCAACAACAAATCTATAACCAACACCTTTTTCACAAAGGCCCGATAGACATCCAGGTTTTATTCCATATTTTGTCATTAATGATTTGAGAATTATAAAGAGACCTTTTTTAGTTTAGTTTGGTTTAGTTTATTTCTTATTTGGTGTCTCGCACCTAAAGATGTCCAGCCAGCATGGGGTTATACGACACAGAGATGTAGGCAGACATCAGAACAACAACAAACATAGAGTAAGTAAGTCATCTTTATTTATATACCGCCTTTCACAGACCAGAGTCACAAAGCGGTTTACAATTGTTATTTTTTGGGCACTTGTCCTCTCACTCCACACAGAGATGGGAGTGGGGTCGCCGAACAGGAGGCGCATGCCAGACCTATTGTACATATTTTTAGTGGTAGGGGAAACCGGAGTACCCAGAGGAAACCTACGCAGACACGGGGAGAACATGCAAACTCCACTCAGAAAGGCCCTGGTCCGACCGGGATTCGAACCCATGACCTTCTGAGTGTCCTCTTCCGTTG